CCGTTTCACGAGGATGCAGGAGAGAGCCGTTCCGATAGATCCCGCGGGAGATATCGGTAAACTCCATAATTCAGGAATCGGTATACACCGGCCATAAATTTCGCCTGATGCAATGGGCGTTAATCTTCGTTAATTCTCTCGTTAATCAGTCACGGATATATACTGGTGGGGACTTAGCTCAACTACAAAAGAGGACTCGACGAGCCATGCGATTTAAGGGATCTAAAAGAAAGAAGATCGAGGGGAATAGAGAATAGAAGAAGCGTATAAACCGCGGTGGTGGACCCTACAGCGGCACACGTTCGTTATCCACGAAGAACGCGAGGAAGGAGAACCACGGTGTATCGTAGACGGCGTCGTTTATACGGGCCGCGCGACGCCACTGTCGCAAGACCACCTACGACAAATGTGGCAGCCTGCAAATAATACCGGGCGTGTTGTACCACCAACGACAGGAGAGATAGAGGCCTCTAACTGCCAGCACGGTATCGTGGTTTAGTGCCTCTGATTACCTGAGCCCCCTCTCCCTCAACCACCCCCCTTACATTCAACTCCTCCCCCGCGATGTGCCGAGTCCAAGTGGCCATGCGCTCCCAACAGCGCTACGGTTAACACAGAAAGACGTCTTCTCTTCTTTCTTCTCGTTGAAATCCCCCCCCTCTTTCTTTCTCTTGCTCTCTGTTTTACTCGTATCTTCCGTTTCGTTCTCTTTTGCTGGTTACATGTACAAGAGTAAGAAAGAGTAAGAGAGAGGGGGAGGGGAGGAGAGAAAGAGAGAACAGCCTGCCGAACGCGTGAGATTCGCGGTCTGGATAGGCTCTAAACGACGGATCAGGACGTACAGTATCTCACAATAATGGCGCACGGTGGAAGGCCCCCGATAAGGTCGGCCTCGTTGCTAGATTTAAGGGACGGCGCGAGCGGCCCGTAGCGAACGTTCCGAACGGCGATTGAGAATTATTGGTCCGTGTACGGACTACGCGCGTGTATACATATACCTATGCCTTTTACGTAGATATACGTATGCATGCGTATGCGTGTCGCGATACGTGTATACACGTGTATGTATGCGTTTTATCTGTGTAGTGCTGTGCGTCTGTATGCGTGTATTTATAGATACGTATTATTTGTATGTATATATGACGTTGTGTAGTTGCACAGTATTGGTCGTGGTGGCGCTGCCTTTCGAGAGCGTCATTATTGTGCGATGCTGTAAGTACGTTCACCGGGCCGATTCGTTCTGTGAATCACGGTATCGTTCGTCGTTTCAACGACGAAAAATCGGCGGACAAAAGGCGTTTTCTGTCCGGGGCCGACTCGTTAGTACACCCAAAGCAAACGATCGGTTTTTTGATAAACGAGCTTGGTGGGCGTGCGATGTTTCCTTAATCGTCGAAAACGAGGTTGTCTGATTGTTATTAGATTATTTATTCGGTTACGTTGATGGACAACACGCAGAGTCGATTGACACACGACGGTTTGAAATTGTTAGTGAATGCCAGAAATCGGGTTAAATGATAACTTGCCTTCACGTGATTGGCCGTTTTTGCACCTATAGATTGATAATCTTCGTAGGAATGAAATTGAATTTATTGGTTAAGTGATTGACCGAGGCGTGCGCTTGCGACGAGAATAAAAGGTTGTACTAATTACCGGTAGATGACACTAGGCTTATCTTAACACGGCGTAACCAATCGCGATTAAAAATCAGTGGCACGAAAAATATCTATTGCGATAGGTTTCCAAAGTGAAACAAATCAAGATGAAATAGAAAAGATAAGAGATTCTAAGGAATTAAAAAATCGTTATGACGAAAAATTTCATAGATTTTGAAAAGGTATAGAATTTCATATATGATTATATTATGTTTTCTACATTATGGAACATTCATATTATGAAATATCCACTGTATTCGATACCCAAAAATATCCATAAAAAAGTAAACTAGTAATTGAAAATAATTGTTTCGTAGAGTGCTAGAGGCAAGATTCGGTCGTATTCAATCGGTTGAATTTTTCCAACGGAATAAAAAAAAAAAAAAAAAAAAGCTAAAATATCCTGCAAGCAATTCCTCTACGATGGATCGATAACAATCTCGCAGGTAATAATTATCAAGAATCGCCAGCGCATCGATGACCTTTATATTGGCGGAGGGCTTGCGAAATAGACTGTAACGAAAAGTTTGCTCGCTGCCGATTGAAATTGATGTGTATACGCATGCGCTCTGTGCTATGCGTATGAATCTCTCTTTGAACTCTAAGGGAAAGGCCTACTTTTCATCTATTATTATATTTACCATCGATAGATACGCATATATAAAAGGTGTTCCGTACATAATATAATTCATAAATCCATTTCAAAAATTGATTATATACTTATTTTTGCATTTCCAGATAAGCCATTGTAAACATGTTCTCATTGATCTGATTATTATAGAAGACATATTGTTCTATTCTAAAAGCATATTATTTCATGATTTTCAATAGACATTGCACACACAATTATGCAAAATTTTAAACATCTCCACGCAACAGGTATTCTCCATTTACTTCAAAATCATCGTTACTTTTAAAATATACATTAAGAATTCTGTTCTCAAATCAAACCTATACCTCTCAACTTTTTTCACTTATTTTCGTACAATTTATTTCGATCAATTTCTACAAATCACGAGACACCCTGTATATTTCACGTGTATATATACACATACTTATATCGATACACCTCTTTCTCGATAGCATCCTCCTCCACCTCGTTTGCTAGCTTCTTCCTCCACCTCTTCCTCCTCCACTCATCGTCTGGTCTCCGTCGGCTGGCTCTGGAACAATAGCACCTCGGCTACACGGTGGATGAACTTCTGAGACTGGAATCGGCTCTGCCCACTCTGTGAATTTCGTTTCCGTAAAAATGGCCAGAGGAGGAAAGAGGTCGGCAAGAGATCTAAAAGGCAACCTATATACACGGCCGAGGTGAAACGTGGCTCAAAGTACAGGCCTCGATAAATGCGCATCGCTTCACTCGGTCCCTGTGAATTGCTGAAAAATAGAATGTAAATAAGCGTTTTCAACCGGCCACGAGGGGGAGGTGGCTTTCCACATTTGTTTGCCGGCTACGCGAGGGAGGGAGCCAGCTGCCACGGTGAAATGTCAAACGTGAATTATTCGTATCGCAACCGATAAAGATAAGCCCTCTCATGGAAATCGAACCGATCGTCGAACCTGCTGCTTTTGATCGAAACAAGATCGATCCCTGGTTTATTAATTAATTCTTGCGCTTTTAAAAATATGAATATTGTTCGTGAATGATGTTGGTGGATCATTTTTGGAGGATTGATTCTAGAGAAGATAAATGTTAAGGTTTGATTTTATAAACTCAAGTTATAATTCAATAAGCAAGTGAAGCAAGAAAATTAGAAATTAATTTAATTTGAAAATTTCAGGATTCCATAAGATTCTATCAGTAAAAGTAACAATTTTCTCTGCAACCACAATCTCTAACAATATATATATATATATACATATATACGATATGAAAAATAACTTTCCAGAGAGTTGTGTAGCTGTTGTAATGCAAAGATAAGAAGACTAACAATAAATGAAAAAAAAAAAAGCACGTACACACATACTGTGATCTCAATCAACACATATATTAAAACAAAGTGTAAAGTATAAAACAAAGTGATAACAGCTTACCTATAACTTGAAACGTACATCAAACCATTACATCTCTTTTTATTATTCACAGACACGTGTCCGAACGGATAATCTCCAAACAAGAGACTTCAGATTCGTGGCCGCATTTTAATTACACGTTGGCGTTAACCGTCGAAAAAGATTTACCTTCTTCTCCTTTGCTGTTGCACCTGCATCGTGTCCCAGTTCGGTATCGGCGAATGTAAATTGTTATCGGCGTCGAATCGGTTTCGCGACTACCATCAAACCACGCCGTATCTGCGATCCACAGCGTAGAACCGCCTGCTGGCCTAAAGAGAGTACACTCTTGACCGCTTGCCGACATTTTAACATACGAATAAATATATTCTCACTAGCTGGCAGAGAGCACGATTCGTGGCCCCTTACCACCTCTCCCGTAAACAATGCTCAGCTGCGGAGAACAGAACCGCCACGGATACAACTTAATCTCATCGCGATGGAAAAGACCAAGCTGCGATGATGGAGGGGAAGGAAGGGTGTTTGGCTTGCACTTGATCGCGTACGAGATAAACAAGAGACGCGTGTGAGATAAATAAGAGAATTTTTTTAAAAGAAAAGAAATCGAATCAAAGGATAAATTGAGATTTAGAATTTTTGAAGGAGTTGATAAAGGTATTCTGAACTATTTTTTGAATAAAATGTGTTATATCCTGATTCATAGTAGTAGAAGTAGAATATATACAATTTTAATTAAGTTGGAGAAAATTTAATCATAATGTGAATTTAAATTTATATTCAGGAATAAGGAGAAAGATTGTTTGGATCAAGTGTAAAGGGCAAACTAGATGGTGGATGAAGTAGAATTGATAAAGTTATTGTGAATTTGATGTACATATGTTGCTTGGATCAAATGTAAACTGAATTTGGAAGAAATAGAACCGATAGAGGTATTCTAAACTATCTGTAAGATTTTTGATGAGAATACCTGAATTTATTATAATGTGAATTTGATTAATACATGCATTCAAGACTTAGGAGAAAGTTAATAAAGCAATGAATCTTTTTCATCAGATTTTATTTAATTAAATTGAAACGTTATAATTGTAATAACTTCATGTTGTGGCACTTCGAAACTTAATCAGACTGTTCATATCATAACGGTTAAAAAGTTAAGAAAAGCAGTTAGATTTCACAATGGACAGTCTAACTTCTGGCTTTTATCTTTTGTATTGTGATACTTTATCACTTCATCAGAGAAGATAATATGATATTTCATCATAGTTAAAACTACTAGGCATAAAGACTTCACATACATACATGTCCAGTATATTTCTAATTGAAAAAATAAAACAAGAAGAAGGATAAGAATGGCTGAAAAGTATGTACAAGTATAAACATACAAGTAATTGCATAGAGTCAAAAAATTTTGAAAAAGAAAAAAACCACCCACTTGACGGATCACATGTGCCATACATTTAAGTATCAAAGAAGTCAAGAAACTGTGATGAACCGGAATCTACATTAACAAAAAATAAACCAACCAACGCGAAACTTTGTCCTTTAACCGATCTGAATCGAACTCGAAAACATTATTCACCCTCGTCATTCTCTCTTCTCTCTCTCTCTCTCTCTCTCATCTTCGACTTCTGGCGAACGATCCACCCTGCCAGAACCCAGTCGCCTCGTCCTGTTCGTTTTCTACGGCGTTGCTCGATTAACCCAAGACAAGATCGGGTTCTGGTACGATCACGAAACTCATTTGTTCCTTTATATCGTCTGCACACTCTCCTTCCCTCTTTTTCCCTCCCCTTTATCTACCCCTCTCCACCTCTCTCGCACGGCCGTGCATTACTTACGTCCGTTTAGATCCCTCTACCTGCTTGAACCTTGTTTCACCACCTAATCTAAGCTTAGGATCTTTCGAGGAATATTGCGATTATGCGTTCGTGGAAACTGTTATTGACATGAGCTGCGCGCGCATACCAGACGCAGACACGAATTTCACGCGCCTACGAAGCGGAATCTTGAACTTTGGTCGGGCGGGTAATCTGATTGTGGGGCAAACGTCGATTTCAGGCCGGCGAGGAGGAGAGATGAATTTCTCGATATCCCGTCTTTGCATCCGTCCATTTCCGCGGAAATCTCGCGATTCTTCCTCGATGAATCGTTTTTCCCCGATCTGGCTGATTCGAAAAAGGGAGATTTTTATCGGGAGATCCGTCTTCTATCCTTTACGCCAATAATCGAATTGCGAAAGTTTCTATTCTCGAATCAATACTTTGCTGTGCATTCTCGTTTTTCGAAGATCGATTTGAAAAGGAAGAAATGATGTGAAAAGAGTAATAAAATTTAATATTGATTCGTCGAACAAAAGTAATTATGAAATTATTAATGTTATTTAAATTAAGCTTAAAATTCATTTTTCCAATTCAATTTGCAAATTATTCATCAAAAATTATACACAGAATGTAATCGAAAAAATTCTATCAAGTGCGTTGATCAGAAGAATAAACTATATCTTAAGATAAAACATCATCTGATGAGCATAAAATTTTTCAAGCATTTACCCCATTTATCGATCATTTACATCAAGTACATTTATCGGAAACAACGCTAATTGTAACACCATCTGGACGCATAACTCATTCTTTCAACTTGCTTCTTAACCAAATTGTCCAATCACCAATTCACGATCGACCATTCACGATCATCGAGTATATCGATCGGAAGGAAACAACGTTAATTGTAAATTGTGATTCCAAATGAGCCATTAATCGCGAAAAGGAGAAGAGAGAAGCGGTCTCTGCGAAGGGAGAGGCCTTCGCGATATTCCGGTGGTCGTGGTATCGAGGGTTAAATCTCTGGCGGTCTCGTTTTTACGGAGCCACTGGTAGCCTGGCGTGCAGATAATACCGACAAAGTCAAAGGGTATTACGCACGATCGTGCACGTGAAAAGAAGATCCTGCTGGAAGAACCAATGTAACGAAATTTCGGACGAAATCGAGACCAATAATTGCGCGTGTAAATATCGAATCGAAATATTAATGGATAGACGAGTGTGCATTCTGGTGGATTTGTTTGGAAACGACACTTAAACGCGTGCAGAGAAACGATATAGGTTATGGAAAATGATTGTTTTCTTTGTTAACGAAATAGTTCGATGTTTGGTCGATAGAGGCGTCTGAGTTAGTGATTCGTTTCGCGAAGTGTGCATCAATTTTGTGTGAATTCGAAGAGTTTTTGTAGATCGTAGAATTTATACAATTCGTTCATTCGAAATTCAGCTCAAATTCGATTAATCCTTATTACTAATAATTTTCTAAAGGATAGTTGCATTTGTATCTTCGTTAAATCTAATCTGCGTTAAATATAATCTGCGAGACTGTCTTTAAAAAACTGTCTTTAAAAATTCCCTATTTAACCTATCTTTGAAGTACAGTGATGTGCATGATCATTCACCGTGATAAATTAAACCAATTCTAAATACGAGTGATAAAGAAATAGAAGAATAGAATAAAAATAACATTAAAACGATCCTTTAATATTTCTACGTGTCTTGTTAAAACAAAATTCCTACGTTCGATACTTACGTTTCCTTCTAAAATGAACGAGCAACGAGGAAAATCCTCGAGAACGAGAAATCCCGATTTGGAAAAAAGTGTGACACGCGTCTATGGACGAACTCGGAGGAATCAAGGAACCGACGGGTTGGCCAAGCCAAAGCAATAATAAGCTATAAGCGCAGCCTGTGCATAGAATGCTGGGTAATGAGGTGGAGTCGAGAGCGGAGTCTGGAGCCGCACCCTTGCCTTTACCTTCCCCGACCCACCTATCCCCGAACCCAACGAATCAACGGACGAACGACGGCAACTAGGATCGCGAGGACGAGCAACGAGGAACAAGATTACAACATTATTACACCGCGTGGATTTCGAGAGAGAGAGAGAGAAAGAGAGAGAGATAAATTATTATATTTATGAAAATGCACGCTGGATGTACGAAGGTGGAATCGCAGTTGTGTTTACGGAGGTGGGACCCCTCGAGCGCCGACCACGTTCCACCAAAGAGTTCGTTTCAAGAGAGAGTGGAGAGAGAAAGAGAAAGAAAGAGAGAAGGGACTTTTGTCCCTCCTGATCGCTGGTCTGCATTGCACCACGCCTGTACAGCTTCGATCAGAAGTGACGGGTGCGATCGAGCCTCTCGAACGAAAGTTTCCAGATTAATCTCGTTCAGAATTTGATGTCCTTAAGATATATAGGCATACTAGTGTGAGAATGTGAATATTCGTTAGATCGTGTGAATATATGTTAAATCGTTTAATAATTTCAAGATTTAAAGATGTGGATATGGAAGTGTGAGAAAATAAGGTTAGGAGTGGAGATGCGTTTGTATTAAATGGACTTTAATTCTGATTGATAAAGAGTGTAATATACTACGATTATTAGATTATCGATACAAAAATATAACGAAAGAGAAAAATTGTTTGATTTTGCAAGAGATAATTCGCAAAAAAATAATGGGCGAATATTACAAGGAATAAAAAGTTAGTATGATTTTTTCCCAAACGAGTGGTAATTTTGCACAAAAAGAAATCTTTCATTTACTATTCTCTGATACTAATGACTCTATTTTCAAAACTGATATCAATCTTATCCAAACATGATTTACAATACCAATCCTATTTTTCGTATTACACACTCTACACAATGTTCTTTCACGTAGCAAAGATAATTTCCACCTCAGAGTTCTTCACCACACGATCAGATCAATCGTAATCGTTACACCAACGACTCGGCCATCGTTCTTTCACTTACATCAATATCCCATTAACGATGAAGAGACAGACGAAAATTCAAACGAGAATGAGATTAAATGGTTTTTTAACGAAACGCGTCATATCGAAACGAAGAGTACCATAAAGCGTTCTCCACAGTTTCGTAA